ACAGATTCAATATTACCGGGGAATTATGGTTAGTCCAGCTGGGAAATGGAATAAGTATATTACTACTTTGATTCCATTTTATAGAAATGGATATGCTTTACAGATTTGTAACCCAACTGATTTACGACCAAAAGTGTTCTATAATATTGTATAGGATAAATATCGCCTAGCAAATTAAATCGCAGTTAATTGAATTATAATTGGTATTTTCGTGTGTGATTTTTCACCAAGTAATGAGAAATTATTCACATTACAAATTTTTAATTGGCACTCAAAAATCTCAAAAAAATGTGGGTCTGATATTGCCTATTCAAGAAATATGAATTAATTTATGTACAATGAGTTTTTTAAATCTTTTTCAGATGTGCCTTTATTACATACAAAGTGCGGTCGAATAACATGTACAAGCAGGTATGAGATGATTCTTTAGGAAAAAATAAGAACAAAATATGGAATAAAATTTGTTCATTTCAAGCTTAGTTTTCGGGAAAATCGACTTCGAAATTAATCTGATACGCGCGTATTCACCATCGTACTAAGTAGAAACGGAATGTACTGGTCAGACGTGTTAACCCAGTCCTATTCAATTGCCCCAGTATCTAACACATTTTCAAAGTCGATTTTCTTGAAAACTAAGCCTTAAATGAAAAAATGGTATTCCATATTTTGTTCTTATTTTTTCATAAGGAATTATCTTGTAACCGCTTGTACATGTTATTTGGCCGCATCCTGTATATAAATGTTTTTTGATCAATTGTTTTCTTAAGATTAGGTTTTAAAAATGTTCTTAATATAAAAATATAGAAATAGGATTTTTAAAATGTTTTATTTTTTTGGATGCACATATTGGACAAACAAAATTAATTTCGGTTGCTTCGCAAATTTTGTACTGGGAAAAAAATTCGGTACCTATTGAGAACATGTATACTCATAAATGAGAAACGCTATTTTCATTAAGAAAAATGTTAAATCGATTGTATTCCTTAAATACATCATTAATTAGATACTTGTAGTAAATACTCATGCATTCACAGAATCTTTAGACTTGCCTTCTCCGAACGTGATGTAAGAGTGTCTGAGTCGAAGAAATTTTGACACTCTGAAGGTTCACTAAAGTACTTCCCTTTTTTGAATTATCAACCACACGATGCTGCAATTACAGTATGTTTTCCTCTATATGGTTAGGTACCTTTTTAGTCCATGACCGATAAATTTTAGCACCTGCTTTGCAAGATATAACGAGTGGCGATATTAGTAACATCAGCGGTATTAGATAGGTACTTTAACCCTGATAGTATTAAATGTAAATATTTCTCACTCTATCCGGTATTAAATAGTAAATTCTACGTGTGTTCCAAATTACAGAAATATTCGATCACCAAAGCGTTTGATCGCCATACAAACCGGCCTGTCCGTCAATTAAACTACATATTCCACGCGGGTATTGGGTACGTTAGATGCATTTTAATTACAAAATCAGTCAACCGCAACCATCTCTACGTTCAACGAGACGGGACATACCTATTAAACTTCTTCTGAACCGACGTAATCACCGTACGAAATTAATCACTTTTACGGGGCCAGGCGGTTTAAAAAGTTGCACGAAACCGTCTCGACCTCTCCATTCCAGACGCGCTTAAAGCGTGCACGTTGTTATTCGCGGCGTTATTTCACAGGAGGGAGCGTCTAAAAGGAACAGGATTTCGCGGGTTTATACGGGCAAGTTAATTGCGACGTACCTGCGTGGAGGCATCGAAAAAACAAAAAAAAAAAAAAACGAAAACAGAGCACACCGCCGCCGCGTCCAGTCCGGCCAGGAAGAAATTAAGTGGATTAGTACCCTAATGGCGAGACGGAGCGGTAAACTGAAATAAATATGGTGCTCACGAGGGAGGAGAGGGTGAATGTAATTATGCGACTAAGCACTTAGTAATTTCCAGCGAGAGAAAAAAGAACGACAAACAGGAGAGGATATAGAACGGCGGGGGAGAAAAACGGTTGGGGGAGGGAAACTAAGAGAGGTTAGGAAAGCTTAAAAGTTAGCTGTGTGTATCTCGATATCGCGTTGTTACAAACCTCGATACGATACTTTCGGGCGAATCGTTTCCTTGCGCAGACCTTTCGCCGATTCCCTTTTCCGAATACAATTGAATACCATCGCGCCAGGGAGAAATAAATTTGCGATAACAGGGAGTCGAAGAAGGGGGGAGGCGAAACGAGGAACGGAACGGAATGGGTGGGTCTCCAGCCACAAAGGAACAAGGGGGAGGGGGAGGGCCGAGCCGTTAAAAGTTGAAGACGCGTTTGCGCGCGGAACTGTTTCATTGTAATAGCCAAAGTTCGTCCCCCGGTCTGGTCCGGTTTCGCTGTAGCCTTTATTATTTTATATTTCGCGGCGGGCACCGTGCCGCTCGAAGATAACAGAAATTATACCCACGTTTCAAAAGTGAAACAACCGTTACCGACGGCGACGCGAAACTTTAATTCCCGACGATATCGCCCAGGCCGATTTCATCTTCCGCGGGAACATCCGCCCCCTCCCCCCCCCCC